CGGGGGTTCTCCGATAGAGATGGCGGTTGCCTGAGTGGCAGACAGCCTGTATTAAAGAGGATTTGCTAGACGGTTTGGTCTGACCATTGAAATTCACGCCGGAAGACGGAAGAAACGGACAAATAAATAGCGCTGAAAAAATGGGAGGAATCAAGGGTAGATTAGATAATGGAAACAGACTAAAAGATGAAAGAGAAAATATATGTAAAGTGTATTTAGGAATTAGATACCGATTGTGACCAACGACTCTGGTTTGGTTTGGGATGTATTCTAAGTGTCTCTAACAACTAGCCGCAGAACAGAATCCTAATGTACATGGCTAGAACTGTGAGGTTCACATTCAAACACGGATGATTCCTATTTGGCTCATAATACCAAGACCCATAATATATAGAATACCAGTTGGTACATTTAAAAAAATGCGCTGGGTATAGTCTGAGTGCAACTTTATACTAGCACTATTGTATTCCCAAACGATAAACTGGTTGGTTGAAAAGGCCACAGTTATATGTTTTTAGCAAATAAGTAGAAATAAAATGTTAACCGTGATTTCAGGCAATTAAAAAAAAAAAAATTATTGCGACAACGGTAAAAAAAAAAAAGACATTCTGGCATAGGTAATTTGACTTACAATCATCATTATTTACTTATTATATTCCTCCTTCGTCGACTCTGTGGCTAAGTCGATGCGAAAGCTTCGTAATGCCGGTGTGCCGGGTTCGATCCCAGATGTGGGACATGCGCCTTGCGTTGGTTTCGACAGTGGTATCAGGGGACCGACCGTCCAGGGAGCAATGGCAAACTAAAAGGTTAGTTGCAACAGGACGTTGCAGAACCAACCCCAGCAGCCCCTGGCTGTTGTGTGGTTTCTCTAGGCAAATGTACGTCCAGTAGTTAATGCCTAAAGAAATCACACAAAGCCAGGGGCTGCTGGGGTTTGTTCTGCAGCATTCTGCAAAGGATATGCAACTTACCTGCATACCTCCTTCAGATATGAAATCCGACAATACCTTGCCAGACAACATATTGTAAACTCTCAGTCCGTGCAACTTTAGGGGTAAACCAAGCGTGTCCTACAGTATTGTAATGGAGGCTGTTTTGATATTCTGTCTTCTGCAAACTCTTCTTCTTGTTCTGTTTCTCTTATATTTTTTTTTTAATTAGCGTAGCTCTCTTTGGCAGTTCGTATCAGGTCATTCTAGTCAGATGGCCAAACCATCTCATCGGTTACTCCTCAATAAACTGTATGAATGGCATCTCATCTTTGGCTCTTCAATAAACTGTATGAATGGCATCTCATCTTTTACTCTTCAATAAACTGTATGAATGGCATCTCATCTTTTACTCTTCAATAAACTTTATGAATGGCATCTCATCTTTTGCTCTTCAATAAACAGTATGAATGACATTTCATCTTTTGCTCTTAAATAAACTGTATGAATGGCATCTCATCGCTTACTCTTCAATAAACTGTATGAATGGCATCTCATCGCTTACTCTTAAATAAACTGTATGGATGGCATCTTATCTTTTGCTCTTCAATAAACTGTATGAATGGCATCTCATCGCTTACTCTTCAATAAACTGTATGAATGGCATCTCATCGCTTACTCTTCAATAAACTGTATGAATGGCATCTCATCGCTTTCTCTTCAATAAACTGTATGAATGGCATCTCATCTTTTGCTCTTCAATAAACTGTATGAATGGCATCTCATCGCTTACTCTTCAATAAACTGTATGAATGGCATCTCATCGCTTTCTCTTCAATAAACTGTATGAATGGCATCTCATCTTTTGCTCTTCAATAAACTGTATGAATGGCATCTCATCGCTTACTCTTCAATAAACTGTATGAATGGCATCTCATCGCTTACTCTTCAATAAACTGTATGAATGGCATCTCATCGCTTACTCTTCAATAAACTGTATGAAAGGCATGTCATCGGTTACTCTTCAATAAACTGAATGAAAGGCATCTCATCTTTTGCTCTTAAATAAACCGTATAAATTGCATCTCATTGGTTGCTCTTCCAAGATGCCACATCTCTGTGGTATGACTCTGCACTCTGTGGTTTTAGTAAGGGTTCACGGATGACCCAATTAGCATCCAGCTGACCAAGAATAATTCCTATTAGATGCCCCTTGGTATACGAAGTTATTATTCTTCGATGTAACAAAAGTGGTGTTAGTTGCCCCAGTACTTGGTTTGTGATAGCACATCATGTGATCATTTGTTCTTTCCATTCTTCCTTGTGATGTGAACCTTAACCCTAGCTATTTCTATTTTATTGGTTATTTTTTTCTCATCATCATCTACTTTTATTGATATGGTTTCTGGCTGCGTAACTCTAGTCGTTCTTTCTTGAAATAATCACATTTAAAGGTCACAGTTTCCTCAAGTGTTCAGATAATCAATTATGTATATAAACTCGACATAATAAATAAGCACACACACACAAACACATGGACACACACACATGCCCAACAAAACTGATTCCAAATCACAAATAGGTAAATTTCAACGCATTCCAACAAATTGAATGGATGCATGAACATTTTTTTTCTAATTGAACAAATTCGTCATCATTAACACGTCTCAAACATAACAAACCTTACATTCAATCTTTAACAGAGTTTCAGGAAAGTAAGCGTTAATTGTTATATCTCATACGCGCTACTGTTACCCGATATGCATAATTAGTCATTATCATCATCAGTTTCAACTTTTCTGTTAAGGGTTATGAGGTAATGTTGGTAATATCATCCATCCATCATTGGATTAGGCTTAATCTTGTTCTAACATCAAATCGTTTGTTGTTGTTGTTGTTGTTGTAGTGCCTATGTTGGTAGTTGTTGCAGTGTTGTAGTGTCTGTGTTGGTAGTTGTTGTTGTTGTTGTAGTGCCTGAGCTGGTAGTTGTTGCAGTACTGTAGTGCCCGAGTTGGTAGTTGTTGCAGTACTGTAGTGCCTGAGTTGGTAGTTGTTGCAGTACTGTAGTGCCTGAGTTGGTAGTTGTTGCAGTACTGTAGTGCCTGAGTTGGTAGTTGTTGCAGTGTTGTAGTGCCTGAGTTGGTAGTTGTTGCAGTGTTGTAGTGTCTGTGTTGGTAGTTGTTGCAGTGTTGTAGTGCCTGTGTTGGTAGTTGTTGCAGTGTTGTAGTGTCTGTGTTGGTAGTTGTTGTTGTTGTTGTAGTGCCTGAGCTGGTAGTTGTTGCAGTACTGTAGTGCCCGAGTTGGTAGTTGTTGCAGTACTGTAGTGCCTGAGTTGGTAGTTGTTGCAGTACTGTAGTGCCTGAGTTGGTAGTTGTTGCAGTACTGTAGTGCTTGAGTTGGTAGTTGTTGCAGTGTTGTAGTGCCTGAGTTGGTAGTTGTTGCAGTGTTGTAGTGCCTGAGTTGGTAGTTGTTGCAGTACTGTAGTGCCTGAGTTGATAGTTGTTGCAGTGTTGTAGTGCCTGAGTTGATAGTTGTTGCAGTGTTGTAGTGCCTGAGTTGATAGTTGTTGCAGTGTTGTAGTGCCTATGTTGGTAGTTGTTGCAGTGTTGTAGTGCCTGAGTTGGTAGTTGTTGCAGTGTTGTAGTGCCTATGTTGGTAGTTGTTGCAGTGTTGTAGTGCCTGAGTTGGTAGTTGTTGCAGTGTTGTAGTGTTGTAGTGTTGTAGTGCCTGAGTTGGTAGTTGTTGCAGTGTTGTAGTGTTGTAGTGTTGTAGTGCCTGAGTTGGTAGTTGTTGCAGTGTTGTAGTGTTGTAGTGCCTGTGTTGATAGTTGTTGCAGTGTTGTAGTGCCTGAGTTGGTAGTTGTTGCAGTGTTGTAGTGCCTGTGTTGATAGTTGTTGCAGTGTTGTAGTGCCTGAGTTGGTAGTTGTTGCAGTGTTGTAGTGCCTGTGTTGATAGTTGTTGCAGTGTTGTAGTGCCTGAGTTGGTAGTTGTTGCAGTGTTGTAGTGCCTGTGTTGATAGTTGTTGCAGTGTTGTAGTGCCTGAGTTGGTAGTTGTTGTAGTGTTGTAGTGCCTGAGTTGGTAGTTGTTGCAGTGTTGTAGTGCCTGAGTTGGTAGTTGTTGCAGTGTTGTAGTGTTGTAGTGTTGTAGTGCCTGTGTTGGTAGTTGTTGCAGTGTTGTAGTGCCTGAGTTGGTAGTTGTTGCAGTGTTGTAGTGCCTGAGTTGGTAGTTGTTGTAGTGTTGTAGTGCCTGAGTTGGTAGTTGTTGCAGTGTTGTAGTGCCTGAGTTGGTAGTTGTTGTAGTGTTGTAGTGCCTGAGTTGGTAGTTGTTGTAGTGTTGTAGTGCCTGAGTTGGTAGTTGTTGCAGTGTTGTAGTGCCTGAGTTGGTAGTTGTTGCAGTGTTGTAGTGCCTGAGTTGGTAGTTGTTGCAGTGTTGTAGTGCCTGAGTTGGTAGTTGTTGCAGTACTGTAGTGCCCGAGTTTGTAGGTGTTGCAGCTACATTTGAACAAGATGGCCGAGCCATTTGATTTCAGCTTCTCAAGAAATTGGTTCATCATGTTCCCCCTAAAATGTCTCTGACTGTATATTTCTCATTCGACTCTGGTGGTTCAGTTGGTGGCATCTCATCTCACAAATGCCACTTATAAGACTCTGGTCTTGCCCTCTGATTGCTTGACCGATATTGTTTCAGCGGCGCTTTCTTATAAAGCTGGATACATTGTCTTGCTTATTCTCTTGTCTTATTTGCATATTGGATCTGAATTCTGTCTAGATGAGGTTAAGTATTCTTCTAAGACATCTTTTCCCAAGATTGTTTATTTTTTTTTTTTAAATCTAGAGCTACCGTTGCTTTCCAACTCTCGCATCCATAAGTTAGCACTAGAATCACACAAGAGTTGAAGATCTTGTTCTGTGTGTTTGCAACACATTTGAGGTGACTGTGATGAAATCAGAGTATGCCTCCAGTTTATTGTGCACTGAATTAAGTTATATAAAATGTTTAAAAAAAAAAAATATAATAATAATATTATCAGTTATGTAACGTTTGATCGCATGTAAATCAGACAGACATTACGGGTGTCTTTGTTTGACACACAACTGTACTGGCTCCACTGGGGTCAACAGAGGAGCACCTTTCTTGATTTCAATGTCCCCGCCCAGTTTAGGAACTGTCGTGTCATTTAGCTCAAATGTGACCTTTCTAAGAACATGCACTAGTGCTATCTTTAGCTCGAGATAGGCCAGCCTCATCCCAAGACACAAACGGGGTCCATAACCAAAGGGCATAAATGCCATTGGATCTCTTGTTGCCTTGTTTTCCTCTGTGAATCTATCCGGGTCGAATTTTTCGGGATCTGGAAAATGTTTTGGATCTTTCAGAACCAGGAAGATAGGGATGATGACGACTGCTCCTTTAGGGATAGTGATGTGGCCGTACTTTCTTGTCTCTGCAGCCTTTCTGCTCATAATTGGAGCAGGAGGGAAGAGTCTGAGTGTTTCATTGATCACTTGTTCCAAGTATCGGAGCTGCCCTAGTTCTTCCAGTGTCGGATTCTCTCCTGAGACAACCGTCTGGATTTCTTCATACAGTTTTTCCTGTAGACAAACAACAGCATGTTATGTTATGTTATAATAATAGACGTCTTTGCACATTGGGCATCCCTATGCGTGTTCAGTCCTCCGATGCAGCAGCCACTTTAAGGTACCTCTACAACAGCATATTCAAATCAGTTTATATTATCAAACTACTGGACGTAAATTTGCCTAGAAAAACCACACAACAGCCAGGGGCTGTTGGGGTTGGTTCTGCAACGTCCTGTAAAGGATAGGTAACTAGCTTACCTTATGGCAATTGTAGTTACAGAAGACACAGGTCACGAAAGGTCACTAATGCTTATAGACTGGACATTGCTACAACTGTACATTAGCATGGCAACCTACATCCATAGCATTAGAGGCAATGGTTTGTTAGGATCGGGCATCGTTATTACCAAGTCAATTGACCAGCAAGTCACAGTCGAAAAAAAGCATCAGTCTCTCTGAAAACAGGATTATGTAGAGATTCTCTGTGGGTGGGAGCCGCAATGGCTTAGCGGTTAAACATTCCGTGGGAGATGGAAGGTCGGGGGTTTAAATACGCATTGAGTCGGGTTTATTTTGTTAATGACCAACGCTTCAGGGTCAATCCAGCCTTAAATGGCTATCAGGAAGAGTCTTGGAAAGTAAACGCCGCTGACGTGATACTGACCATATCACACACCGGTTACCGGTTGCTCTATAAAAATCTATGTCTACCATTATACAACCAATATGCCTACAATCTTGTCGTACTGTAAGACGGAGAGAGAGAGAGAGAGAGAGAGAGAGAGAGAGAGAGAGAGAGAGAGAGAGAGAGAGAGAGAGAGAGAGAGAGAGAGAGAGAGAGATAGAGATATAGAGAGATAGAGAAAGAGGCACTGACATTCTACTAAACAATTATATACAATCAACAGCCATTTTTTCCCCAAACAATACGCAAAGAGCCCAAAGGAATTTTCAGAGAAACTACTTGCCAAGGGGAACCAGGCCCCAGTTATAACCTATTCTGCCAAGAGGACATAGGCCCCAGTTATAAACCAATTCTTGCCAAGGGGAACCAGGCCCCAGTTATAAACCAATTCTTGCCAAGAGGACATAGGCCCCAGTTATAACCAATTCAAGCTGGTCAAATCTTGGAAGAGTGGACATGACTGATGCGGCCTGTTATCCAAGGATAGCAACGTTTTCAGCAAAGCCAAACCCACCAAGAACAAAAATAACAATAACAGAAAATGACAGCAATAACGACAAGTAAACATAAAAGAGTATGGGCAAATTATTTTTTGTTCGAATACACAAGCCTCTTAGGTCTCTGCGAAGCATAGGTTGGGCCCGCTGCCTTAGAGGTTGAGGTTTGGCAGTTAGTTAGTTGGTTGAATTATCATCATTGCACTCCGGACCTGTCCATAGGTGCTCAGACCTCCCCTCCCCAACATCCGATGGCTAATCGTACCAGTTCTATGTTGATTAACAAGTCTTCTTGTATGTCTGCTGTGCGTCTCGTTTTTTGCTATACCGATCTTAATTCCCAAGTCTGCCATTCTGGCGAGTGATGTGGACTCACTGCTCCCAAAGTCCTCTGTCCTTCCCATTTCTCTGAGAGCATTAATAATAGCATGATCCATAGGCTGACCGTCGGTAGTGATAGCGGATCCAGCCAACCTATCAGCTTTCATTTCCATCGACGCCCCGGGTCCCGGAACAAAAATAAAGAGACTCCACACACAGTGGACCTCTGTAATGATTTAAGCCATTGTCTTCGCACCGAACCTGCCTGAACACTCCAGATCGTACTCATTGAATCTTTGAGTATACATACGCGGGTGTAGTTTTGTGTTTCGAGCGTCACTGCTATCACCTCCATCGTCATGTTGCTGGTTGTCATGGAGAAGGCCCCGTTGGCTTCTTTGACTGCTCTGCCCGCTGAGCGTGCTGTGAATGTTTAGCATTGAAACTATGGAAGCAAGCATTACCTGGACACCTGGGTGTTTGGCCAACAGGTAGAGACAGAACTGCAGCGTGGTGGCCGTTGTCTCAAATCCAGCGAAGATAATGAGGATTGACTGTCCAATCAGCTCATCCTGTGTCATTGTCTTCGGTATTCTGTCAGAGGGATCAGTCTTAGTGCTGTCTGCTCAAAAAACAAAAATACAGTAACAAAATATAATGCAGACATTGCACCATCATGCATTTCAAACATAGTTAGTTAATAGTTGTTATAAAGTAGAAATGTGAGTGTTGAATAAAAAAAAAAAAAAGGGATTATTCCTGGCCTCTTTAAACCATTTAGATCATTCATTTTACAGCCCATGATATTCTCATTTCTCTGTGAAACGCTCTCTCAGATCTCATGGGATTTTTGTTACTGATACAAACTGAAGCTGATTTTATTAAACATCATCATCATCGTCATCATTAAGTGCCCTGCCGACTGTATCAGTTCGTGTGCCGACACCCCTTCATGCCCTGTCAAAAGGCTGGCAAGAAACTTCTCGGGTTATCTTCCCCTTCTCTCTTTCCACAGATCTTTCCACAGATCTTTCCACAGATCTTTCCAGTGGTCACAGCATGCTCCAGTCTCCCTCTTCTCATAGCATGACAAAACAATCTTTCTGATGTTTGTGATTAGTTGTCTTCGAGCAGTCGTTTCTTTCAAAACATCTGGGTTGATCTTCTCTCCAAGGCATTCTATGAAATATACACAAATTATTTCTATAGTTACCATTGATAATTACTGATAGCGCAATGTGTATTTCATTTTGTAAATATTAAATTTGTACCTAATATGCTTTACTATATATCCGGCCACCTTTACTTCCCGGGACTGCACCCGGTACACACTCAAGGCTTGGTCGACACGGAAGGCAAGGGCATTAAAAAAAAAATGTCTCCGCCAGAGAGCGAACCCACGACCTTCCGATCCGCGGCGAGCGACTAGCCGCTCTGCCACGGCGACTCCCCAATACTGATATGAGAGTATTCAAACTCTGGTCTACGTTACACTGATATCTTAAGATCACTTGAAGCATGAATCAAAGCAACAGCCGCTAGCTAAAACTGCCTGCAACTTACCTGCAGCAGTAGTGGCATTGACGGCCTCCTCTCTGTCGCCGGCCATCTTGGCGGACACCAGACTTTGTAGCAGGTCCGTGGGCTTCCTGCCCTGGGACCTCTCGTACTCCTCTCTTTCAGCCAGTGTTCTGTGCAGGGTGGAGGTCAGGTATTCATTGGACTCTTCGTTGACTGTGTCAAACATTGTCAGTCCTAGCGTCTGAAACAGAAAAAGATCGTGGCATTTGACGACCGGATTGTTTACGCGTGTGTTTACACATTTACTTCATCTATATACAGATGTATTTATTGATCTATCTAAAAAAACATGTGAAGGTGATAATGCCAATACAGCGTTTGGCTACACTTCGTTTAGAAACTCTTGCCCCTGTAAACAAAATGACCTTGGCTCCCAGGTCGACCCAGCTTGAGTGGGTCCATGACAAAACTGTACCGAGTACTTTCTTCCTTGATACACACGACCCAGACAAGACTGTACCGAGTACTTTCTTCCTTGATACACACGACCCAGACGAGACTGTACCGAGTACTTTCTTCCTTGATACACACGACCCTGACAAGACTGTACCGAGTACTTTCTTCCTTGATACACACTACCCTGACAAGACTGTACCGAGTACTTTCTTCCTTGATACACACGACCCAGACAAGACTGTACCGAGTACTTTGTTCCTTGATACACACGACCCAGACAAGACTGTACCGAGTACTTTGTTTCTTGATTCGCACTATCCAGACAAGACTGTACGCGTACTTTGTTCCTTGATACACTCTGTCCAGACAAGACTGTACCGAGTACTCTGTTTCTTGATACACACTATCCAGAGAAGACTGTACTGAGTTCTTTGTTCCTTGATACACTCTGTCCAGACAAGACTGTACCGAGTACTTTGTTCCTTGATACACACTATCCAGACAAGACTGTACGAGTACTTTGTTCCTTGATACACTCTGTCCAGACAAGACTGTACCGAGTACTTTGTTACTTGATACACACTATCCAGACAAGACTGTACTGAGTGCTTTGTTCCTTGATACACACTATCCAGACAAGTCTGTACCTAGTGCTTTGTTCGTTGATACACACTATCCAGACAAGATTGTACCGAGTACTGTGTTCTGAACAGCTGTTTCCTGACAGTCCAACAAGCACACATTAGATAGATATACTTGGTACAGCCCTGATATACTTAGTCCAAAAAGCAGACATTAGATAGATATACTTGGTACAGCCCTGATACACACAGTCCAACGTGCAGACATTAGATAGATATACTTACTACAACCCTGGCACACACAGTGCAACAAGCAGACATTAGACAGATATACTTACATTCAACAGAAAACTGTGCAGCCAGGGAAATCGAAACAAAACGATCATAGCCTTGGTCATAAGTGAACTCCTGGACTTAAATAACTTCTTGCAGTAGTCGGTGAACTGGTCATCCTCCCCGCCGAGGCACTCCGTTTGGAGGCCGAATGCTGTCTTGGCGATGATCTCACTGGTGTACTGGCCAGTTAAATGTTTGATCTCCACGTTTTTGTTGGTCCTGGCACAGTGCTCCAGCACGTTTGCCAGCTTGACTGCGGTGTCGTCTATTGTCTTTGATATATGCTTTAGTTTTCCGGATCTGTGTGAACATGTCCACAAAAACAGTGAGGTTCCTGCCACGGAGGTATACGAGCAACAGTACACAGCTATCATCACCATGTGACGTGCTGATATGATTGGGTAGTTATGGTTCGCCATTATATACCATCATCATCACCACAATTATGGATCAGTTCAGAGCTCCCCTCCCTCCCTCCCCACTCAAGACATGTGGTCAGGTCATCCAGCTATGTATCTCTGCCCAACCCTGCTTTTTACCGTCAAGTTAATGGCTGTCATTAAATTTGCAGGTAGATACCCTTTTTATAGCTTGTTACTTAAAAATAAAGCAAATATACATACAAAAATACCTACCTACCGACCTACCTACATATCTACCTACCTACCTACCTACCTACCTACCTACCTACCTACCTACCTACCTACCTACATACCTACCTACTTACCTATCTATCTACCTACCTACCTACCTACACATATACCTACGCACGTAATACATATATACATACACACATATACATACATACACACACATACACACACGCGCGCGCACAGACACACACACACACACAGGGAATAGGGAGAATTCGTTGCTTATTTACCAGTACAGTGGTAGGCTTTTTTCAGCTCTTTGGAAAATACTAACAGTTTTAGCATGTGACAGAGAAATAACCTTTGGGTGGGGAAGGTCCTAGATGTACAATTTAAACGACCACTTATATAAAGTCACAATTATATGTTGCTTGTTCTAGTGTCGGCCAGCCAGCGAAATTAATTATAATAGACACGTGCCTTTTCTATTTTCTTTCTTTTTCATTTAGTCAAACTAAGCCACAGCAACGCGTGACCGGGTAAGCTAGTGATATTATAAATTACAATTGCACAGGTGCTGCTGTTTTATTATAGCTGCAAATTTCTTTAATATTTGTTTGACTAGTAATTATGTGTTTATAAATATTAGTAAACTAATTTTTTTTAAAAGGGAACATACTCTAACGCGTGAGTGAGTGGTGATTATTGTGATAGCCTATTCCTCTTGCAAGGAAAAATCCACAACTCACGGAAGGCTAATGCTGAAGATGACCGCCTGAGAGGGAAACCGCTATGAAACGAGTGCAATTTGATGTAAACAAAAAAATCCCACTTAACTATGAGAATGCTGACTGATTTGAATCAATGACTGTTTTTGAATGTACCACAAATAAGGAACAATTAAAACTAGGTAATTTTTTTTTTATATTTATTAAAAAAAAAAAAAAAAAAAAAAAAAAAAAAAAAAAAAAAAAAAAAAAAAAAAAAAAAAAAAGGAACTTACAAGAACATGGTTATTATAACGTTGCATTTCAAGTATCAACAACTTACACTAAATGGTTACTGAGTTGGAGATTTTAAAAGTTAGGCACGACTTCTGGGGCAGACTATAACACACACACTGTGTATACCTGTTGAAATGTGTTTGAAAACAGATCTTGACAGTTTAATATCGCAGTTTGTTTTTAATGTTCTGTATGTCATTGTCTGTGACAAAATCTGTCGGCAGTAGCCTGTCCATTTATGTCCATCAGTGTATCCTGACCAACGTAATTTGATCAACACATTGCGATCAACTTTCTGTTATCAGCAACGTGGATTATGAGGGTTAATTGATCTTTCCTTGTCATCCTGGTCCGTGACACGTTTTGAATCGGTTAGAGAACAGTGCCAAGAAAGTGTGTATCTTGTGTAGTGTTGGCACGCATACTTGTGCGGCACCCGTGGCTTAGGCGTTGCAAGTCCGACTCGTAATTCCAACGTGCCGCGATCGAAACACACTGCTGGCTGCGTGGATTTTTATCGTGGTATGTGGCGTCGCAGGTCGACCCAGCCTGAAATGGGTACCAGGATGGCTGTCCTGGGGAAGTAGAAACGGCCGGGGTAATGCTGACCACACTACCCACCTAGCTCCGATGGTCTGAAAAGATATGGGCGCTTTTCCCATAAACCCGATGCGCCTAAAGGCGCGAAAAGGGATCTCAACTTTAACTTAACATAACGCATACTTGTAGATCTGAACTGGCGCCATGATTCCGTTAACTTTGTGAAAGGTCGTTGCATCATCTGAACGCCTGGGGAAAACAAGTGTGGGAACAGGGGAATGGGGGGGGGGGGTGGGGGGGGGGGGGCAGGAGGGGCAGCGGGTGGTTCCCACAGGTAATAATAGTAATCGCCACAGCCAAAACAAAACAACAATTCAATTTACTAACAAAATCAGAAATATTGTATTTACGCGAATGAAGGCGACAGAACATGTCGTATCCGTCTCCAGTCGTCTCCTTCGAGGAAGAAGAGGCCCTTTTTCACTAATGATTTGGTCCTGAACACTGTCATTCTGTCCACAAAGTTGTTAAAATCTTTCACCATGACGTTCTTCAGGATATCGAGGTCACGGGAGATAAGCTGCATCTGGAACCGTTTCACCCCAATAGTGTCCCCGTGCTGCTGAATGAGGTCGGCGCATGCGGTCCTGGGGAGACAGACAAACAGTCAACATATTTGTCTACAAGTCAGTTCAATAGGTTAGTTGCGTATCCTTTACAGAACGTTGCAGAACCCACCCCAGCAGCCCTGGCTGTTGCGTGGTTTTTCTAGCCACATTTACGACCAGTAGTTTGCCATTGCTTTAGGGATGGTCGGCCCCCTGATAATACTGTCGAAACGAGCGCAAGGCATTTTGCCCGCAGCTGGGTGGAACCCGGCACCCCGGCATTACGAAGCGTTCGCATCGACTAAGCCACAGAGCCGACTCAGTCCAATAAAAAAACTCTTTATACGCCAAGGGCTCATAAGGCTCATAGTGATCGGCCTTCATTTTTTAAACCGTTTGCTCGATCGGGAGCGTTTTTAACATCTTATGTTTGGCTTTTAATTTCCATGTAATTTTTACCATTGTGACAATGTCGAGCTACAGGAAACGAAAGGACATGATAGACATTGTGGTGTTAGAAAGTGGAAGAATGGGCCTCAGTTTGAATAATGGAAAGACAGAAGTAATGGTGGTTTAAAAAAAAAAACCGAATTATTCCTAAATAAATAATAAATAAAAGTCGATGGTGTTATTTTAGGACAAATATAGAAATGTAAGGATCTGGGCACATGGATAACATCAGATGGAAGATGCATAACTGAGATAAAAAATAGAACAGGACAGGCAAAAACTGCATTTTATAAAATGAAGAACATCTTATGGAATATATCCTTGTCATTGAGAGTTAGAAAAAAGAATTCTTGCTTGCTACGTACATCCAGTTTTAACATACGGCTGTGAATCCTGGACAAACGGTAGGCAGGCCAAACAATTTGTAGAGGCCTCAGAGATGTGGTTTTACAGAAAAATGCTTACAATACCTTGGACAGCCAAAAAGAGCAACCAAGAGGTTTTGAAAGAGGCGGGAGCCCGCAGACAACTTATCACAGACATCAGAGGGAGACAGTCATAATTTTTCAGCCATGTTGTGAGAAGAGGGAAAATAGAACATGTTGTGACCACTGGAAAGATCTGTGGAAGGAGAGATAGAGGAAGACAACGAGAGAAGATTCTTGACAGTCTTGTTGCATGGCATTGAGGTGTGTCGGCACACGAAATGATACATGCTACAGGAGATCGCAGATTGGGGAGAGATATGATCGCCCACGCCAGACAGCTAGACATCTGGTGATGATGATGATGATTTTGAGCTGCGTCGAGCTGCGAGCCAACGTCATTTTTATCACATTAAATGTACATAACCCATGCACAATTAGGATTGATTTGTCCTTTTGGAATCGCTATTGGAATCGCTTTTGGAATCGCTATTGGAATCACATGAGATTTTAACAAAGGTCACGATGTCTAATTGACCACATTACTCATGTTATGCTAAATGAAGAACATAGAAGGCTAGCACCGTTGACCTTACATGCCACAATGACACGAACATGAGTTCCTCTTATATAAAAAAAATATTGTGTTGACAGAATGGGAAACAGTTAAAAAAATTGTTATGTTATGCTAAATGCGGCGTCCGTTTCTTAGATGTAGCGAGTCCGACTACTGGCTGCGTGGATTTTTATCATGGTATGGGGCGTCGCAGGTCGTAACACTTCGTCTAAACATTCTTTTATTTATGCATCTTCTATTAACCTAGCTTCTTAGTGTCGTGTCTACAAGCAAGACATAAACTACCAACCGGAAGTCTGTGAGGCCCATGTTGACCTGCTTGACGCCATACTTGTCCCAGTTGTCGTCAGTGCTCAATTTGCTGTAGATAAAGTAGAAGAGAACAGCCACGGTGGCTAGGACAAGATACACAGTCGCACCAGACAACAGGCTGGCTACTGTCCATGTTTCTACAGCAGCCATGTTGGCGTAAGGATCCACAAGCGGCAGTCAAGGATGAGCTGCTTGCTCTGAATTCAGATTTTGCACTTGGTGGTTGTAGTTTCCTTTAGAAATACAACATTGCATTAGAGATATATTACTTTCAACATAGAATACTGCATTATAAATAAATAGAGGTGTTTATTTTCTTCGAAATACAACAGCACTCTGTCATGTTGAGATCTAGAATATGGTTGCTGCATTTACGACATCAAAACTGCTACACATGAGTCTACAGGACGGAAGTCGCAACACTCTGGACATTCACATAAACGCTCCGTCCTCACCTTCTGCAGCGAACGCTGTTCCATTATTAAAGGTTAAAAAGAAAAAAAAAAGAAAGTTAAAGAACCCTTTCCCCATGCCGTTACATGTATTAAGCATAAAGTGCTGGACATACTGTTCTATGGACCAACAGACACCCGGCGGTTGATGTGGTCAGTATCCAAACGAACTTCTAGACTTTCCAGAACTCTGCCTGGTACCCGTTTAAGGCGGTCTACCCGGAACCAAGATCATTCTCAAAAACATCCGGCTCCTAACAGATTTGAACAATTTTATAAAGCATTGGTTAGAGGCAAAATGGAATACGGAAGCGTAGTATACGAATCAGCATCAGAGAACAGCAAAAGCAAACTTGATAGGATTTAGTGCCAAGCTCTGATTTCCATCATGGGCACTGGCAAAGGGACATCGAGAGATGCCATGGAGGTAGCGCTAGGCATCACACCGCTTAACTTCAGAAGGAAGCAACTAACTTATAGCTATTGGATGAAAGCGGCCAACGATGCCAGACACCCAGCTTCAGACGCTTTTCATCATAACATTACCCACCTAGGTGACAGACCGGTCAGAGATATACTGAGACCAGCAGCCTGGGACGCTGCACTAGAAATTAACGATAATGAGGCTTTAGCTAGGACTCTAGAGGCAAGCGTTAGGTTTGTCCCTCAAATCCCTCCATGGAGACTAGAACTGCCTAGGACAGACATGAATCTGATGAAAATTATTATTAAGAATACTGAAACATTTGAGGCCAAAGCAATAACAGAAGAATACATACACCAGATCCGATCAAACAATTTGGTTACATAAACTGACGGGTCTAAGAATGAAGATGTAGAAGTAGGAGGAGGAGTAATAATCCCACAGTGGAATATGCAAAGAGAATATTAAAAAAAAAAAAAACAGATCAAGTGGCAGTATGCACAGCAGAACTAGTCGGCATAATGAAGGCACTAGAAATGGTAATAAATAAACCTCCAACTAAATTTACCATACTGACAGATTCGTTGTCCTCAGTGCAGACATTAAAAACACATAAAACTAGCTTAGACCAGATATAAAAGAAACGATCTGAAATCTAACAACCCAACTCAAGAATAAAGGATGCCTAGTCACCATTGCATGGGTACCAGCACACAGAGGTGTAATAGGCAATGAAAAAGCTGACCAAGCAGCCAAAAAGGGAGCAAAATGTGATGTTTTAATAGATGTAGGGCTCTGAAAAACTGAAAGGACTAGCATAATCAAACGACATATCATTAAACTGTGGAAACTCCAGTGGCAGATGAGCACTAATGGCAGAGATGCCTACAACAACCTTAAAGAACCCAGCCTTAACACACAGGTACGGGACAAACTAAAAATCCCAGCTAACAAACTACTATGGAGAGTTAGGTTAGAGTGGCATCCAGAAAAATTTATATCTCCCCTATGTCTGGACTGCTTTCAAAATAATACAATAGAACATTATATGATAAACTGCACTAAATACAAATTGGAGAGGAAACCCATTGAGGAGTATTTTCTAAAACGCAAACAACAGATAACTGCAAACAAATGTTTAAAGGTGGATAGCAATAAAGACATCCCAAAACTTGTTAAACTGTATCTAATAAAAACAAACCAAAATTAAAAGACCAGGTTGATGATCAGCTTAGGACAGCAGAAGCAACTGATCAAATTTTGACTCCAGACACCCTAGCGTAAGGGAGGTAGTGTAAGTATGATGGGTGCATAGATGTGAACATGGATGCATACACAAGGATGAGTGCGTGTAGTATGAGTGCATTTATGCATAGGATGGATATATAAGACATGCAGATGAACGCGTACATGGCTAAAAGAAATATATTGCTGAATGCATGTATATGTGTGGATGAGTGTGCATGTGTATATATATATATATGGGAGCGTGTATATTCATATATTTGTGTGTGTATGAATGACAGTGCACTCCAAGAACCCATATATTATGTTGTTGCATGGCTGTTAATTAATGAGAACAAATGGAATGAAGTGTGTACGCAGCAAGAACGTCATCGACACACACCATCCACCAGAACATGATAAGAAAGTAACGGACAGGTCACATACCAGGAACGGGACATAACTTAAAGAGTGACACAAGCAGTTGGTATTCCAGACATAGAGACAAAAAAAAAAAAAAAAAAACAACAACAACAACACACACACACACACACACACACACACACAAGACTGGAAGAGTGAATGTCCTTACGTGTGGATGTGCACGTTTTTTTATGAATGTAAGTACAGGCATTGGTAGACACATATAAAAGAGTTTGCCTGTGTACATAATGTCAGTTAGGTATGCAAACACGGATAAGTATGAAAGGATGTGCAAAAGTGTAGTGTTGTATGCGTGTATAAATACTCGAGTGCATGTACGCATACACTTAGTTGTGTGCGTCCATATACTCCTGGGATTCATACTCAGAACCATCCCATTCCACATCATGCCAACAACATGGAAGTGACTAGTAGGACTCACAACAAGATATGACTGACAGCAAATAGGGAAAACAAGTGACTCGATACTGACAGGACTATAACACATAACCACCAATACCACCCTATCATTGGGATGATAGCAAAGGTTGGTAACGTGATACACATGGTCCCTGCAAAAGGCCACGCTAGAATCCAGCAAGACGGCAAGAATTGACTGAATGGCCTCCCGCCCTCTTTCCCCTCACCCTTCGCTGCCTCTTTCGTATGCACTATGAGTTTAACCCCCCCCCCCCAACCCATTCCCACAGAGAGCACTTGAGTTCGTTACCCAACATACCACAGGAATTCTCATCGTCGAACATTTCGATCTCAAAGCGTGAGCTGGATGTTCCGGTTATATGGTATTTACGTTCACCGGAGAGTGAAGGGTTGCCTAGTCATCATACGGCTGCGTGTAGGGTTACACCTATCATCATACGGTTGCGTGTAGGGCTGCGTACAGTGTTGATTTAGGGTTAGGGGTAGGGGTAGGGTCAGGGTTAGGGGTAGGGTTAGATGTGACAATTTTGACGTAGGAGTTCCAAATACTGGCCGACAATCTGATGCTTGTGGGAGTGGCGCCACTGGAAGTCTGTCAAATATGACCGCAATTGCGCGCAGCTGGTGCCCAAACGGTGGCGACGTGTCCGTGTCAGTAGCATCCACAGTCCGTCGACTTTTTGGGTGTGTATGTGACAGTGCGCGATTATTGGGAATTCCTGCGTCGTCAAAATTGTCACATCTAACGCTAAACCTAACGTTAAACCTAAGCCTACCCCTAACCCTAACCCTCCCCCTAACCCTAACCCTTAACCCTACCCCTAACGCTAAACCTAACCCTAACCTTACCCATAACCAACATCCCTAACCCAAACCCTATGCAGCCCTACACGCAACAGCATGATGGACTACGCAACCCTTCAGGCAACCGTATGATGACTACGCAACCCTACAAGCAACCGTATGATGACTACGCAACCCTACACGCAACCGTATGATGACTACGCAACCCTAAACGCAACCGTACGCAACCTTACACGCAACCGTATGATGATAGGTAAGTATGTCATTTGTTTCGTGACCTTTCCGCTCACTGTTTCGAGTGCGGCCAAGGGAGAGAACTCCCACTAAACTGAACTAAGTCGTCCAGCCCGCATCCAACCCTCGTCCGGATATGCAAGGAGAGCCCTCACGAGTACAGTAATTGGAGGAAGTTGCAGGAGATGCGGTAGCTGCCGCTCGTGAGTCCCAGCCATCTAGTTTAGCTCCCATCTGCGCCGCGCGTAGCGGCGCGGGGGATACTCCTCGGCGGTGAGGCACACTCGCAGACGCAGGTCGGCAAGTAACGCCGTATCGCCGAGACCCTGTCAGAGCCGTTTGTTTCGTTATCCGGAGCCGGCACATATATGTTTAATAGAACTGACCCGCATTGGGATATTTTTGGATACTTTATGGCCAGAAATTGGCCAATTTAGATCCCTTTTGAACGCCATCATATTAAAGCCGCCATTTTGGGGAACGATTCAAAGAAGCGCCGAAACTTTGGTCCTCTAGGTTGGGAGTTGAGGCGTGGGACTGACACCCCCACCTTCGTAAAACTTCATCTTGTCACGAAACAGATATCTAAGCCTCTTTAGCGAGTGATATCTGCAGAAATGAACCTCAAGAGCTGGGAATGCTGAAGAAGATACGAATTTTATTATGACCATTTGGAGTGGTGACTATTATCCCCTGCGACACAAGTCGTGTATGCCTCAGGTTATTTCAGCTGTGTGCAGTTTATGCAAAAGTCATTCAGGTCACTAGGCGGGTTTAAGAAAATGTTAAACAGCCGAAGTAAATGTGACAAGCTTTAAATGTCTGTGATAAATTGAATGAGAGTAACAGTTATTTCATTTAACATTTACAGTTCTTTATAAAAAAAAAGTGTTACTGAAACTCTTTATATCCAAGCAGTTGTTGCAGTAAGTAAAAAATGTCTGGGTCTCAGTGAGATCAAGACATAACGCCATTAGGCAGAACCGAATCGATAAAAATAACATTTGGGACCAGAAGGGAAGAAAAGCATGTCTTGATTTGATTGTTACTGGCAGAGCTAGCGGCACAAATCTCAAGAAATGTTGTCAAGTTTAAAAGAAAGGACGGAATTACCTCCGCGGGTTTTTTGTGTGGGGCAGTAGGATGAA